CTGGGAGCCAGGCCCTGTGCTGTCAGCGGGGCGGCCGGCTGCCTCCCGCCCCCTGCGGCTGGGAGTGCGAGCGCCGGGAATGCCTGGAGGCGGGGGAAGGCGCGGGTGCCCGGATGTGGATGGAGATGAGTGCGGTCCCCGGCTGCGGCAGCTAGCCCGGCCGCGGGGTCCCGGGGCGCGGTGACGGCGCGGGGGGGCGCGGTGGCGGGAGGCGGGCAGGAGGGCGGCCGGCAGATGGAAGAGAAGGGTCTGGCAGAGAGGTAGAGCCTGGAGAGCTGGGGAAAGAGCCCATGGACGGAGGACGCCTGGCCGTGTAAACTTCACCATGGCTGCCCAGTCGAGGTACGGCACTGAGCAACTCCTGTGGTAAATCCCGGCGGTGGCTGGTCGGAGGCCGGCGTTGTTGGTGACGCCCCCTCTGTAGTACAGTTCGCTGTTGATTTTTACGCTGTGTTTCCCAGAAACGTGTCTGGAGCCGCGTCCCGGGCAGATCCCGTTCCCGTGCTCTGGTGGTCGGAGTGTCCCCTGCTCCTCCCCCCCCCTCCCCCCCAGCCTAAACTTGGGAAGAACAAAGTCTTAATTGCTCCCTGTCAGATCTCTCCACACGTTAATAGCTCTTTGAAACCGATTGTCTTCTGCCTTGTGGACTTCTCTGTTATTGGTTTGATTTTGGTTTGTCCAGCCTGGTGTGAACAGGTCTCTGTGATTTGTTCCAGCAGTACTTTGGAGGGTGACTGGTTCCTGTGTGGTTGGGTGGCAGAGCCGGCCGTGTCAAATGGCAGCAGGTCGGGTCTGCCTGTCTGCAAACCTGCTGGGTGGGTGGGAGGGAGGGTAGGAAATGGTTGTAGAGAGGAGTAGGGAAAGGAATGACCCGGTGCGGTAGCTGTCAGGAAGCAGGATTCAAGCAAAGGTACCCATCTTGGTCAGACACTTCTCATCTGCGGTTTTTAAAGAGCCAAGTCCGTGCCGCTCTGCGGGAGGCGTTCTGTCTGAAGTAAATGTCACACTCAGCTCTTCTTAAGTCCTGGACCTTGATGAAGCAGTGTTATTTAAGGTACCTTTTAGCTTTTATGATGCTGTAATGGGTGTTTCAGAGATGCCGAAGAGAGAAACTCCTTTTTTTTGCTCTTGAGTCCCGTACCTAACAGCCACCCTGCTCCCCTTTCTTCCAGGCAGAAAAAAAATAATATCAAATATGGTGGTGTATCCTGTGCAGAAGTTTGGCACTTGCTGTGTATTTTCACAGTGGTGCTTCTCTGCAGGTTTGTAGCCAAGAGCTGGCTTTAAATTACAAACTGCAAAATGCCGGAGCCCTGAGGTTTTGGGAGGAAGGATGGGAAGATTGATTGCTTCGTTACCTCTAACTCTGCCTGCCTGCTCCCACTGGGTGTGGGGAGGCTGGGAGCTTTTAACAAAGAGGCAAAGGTTTCATTTTTCAGCATCTCTTTTTTTTTTTTTTTCCCTTTGTATGGTCACTTATTCACATGATTTACTGGCCTGCATTATCAGCACATTGCTTTAATAGGCCCTTGTGCTAAGAGAGGATACAGCATAAATCTTGGTGCCGCTGACTGGCCTTGAAGCTTGGCTTGGCTCCAAGGCCAGGGACATGCTTGATGTCTCAGAGGTCGCACGGCCATTTTCGTGGGTGGCAGGAGGGCACATGGGAACCAAGTCCCAGCAGTAGCCTCCACCCTCAGCAAACTGGCCAATGAAAGGCAAGGCTGGCCCTGGGGTCACCAAACCACATCCCTGACCTGCATGGAGGCAAGGTGTGCACCTGCCGTTCTCCTCTGTGTGTCCTGGCTTTTGCTTGTGTCAGGATGCTGTGAGGTGCTGAAGCTGTAAAACCACGTTAGAGCATTTCAGCATAGGGTGTCAGAAGGTAGCCTCTGTGCTTGAAGACCGGTGCTAAAGTCTCTCTGATTATTGCTCACTTTAAGGCATTTAAATGAGAGTTTGAGTGAGTATGAGCAGCAGAAATTAATTCTTGCAGGAGAGAGGTTACATTTCCCAGAATGCTGGTTGAGGTATTTCTGGTTTGGTGGCATAGGTCAGTAGGGGTATTCATCTCAGTCCAAGAGAATTTATGCTTTCTGGGTGCGTAGAAGTTTTTATTCAACAGTGGAGGATGACTTTGTATTCACCATAAATAATTGGAGTTATACTGCATGGGTCTGAGAGGCCACATGTCTCCAATACAAGTCTGAGGGGTTACTCTGCTAGGTAGCTGACCAAAGGTGTGGGTGAGCTTTCCCTGTTCACTCCTCCTTTAAAAAAATACAAACAATTTCTGCAAGGTCAGTGAATTACTGCTGAGGTGGTATGATAGAGAGCACTGCAGCGTTTTGGGTATCGCTGTATGAGGCCTTCGGGCACTCCCCCGTCTGCTTGGGTTTGCTACTTCTCACATGCTGTATGTTTGAGCTAGAGGATGATGCTTGTTTAGTATCAAGAAAAAATAATAAATCCTGCATCCTTTCTTCAGCTTCAGTGCTGTGATCCTGGGCAGCTCACCTGGCATTTGGGTGTTTCACTGTTTTGAAGGGTGGAAAGGTAAGGAAAATAAGGTGATAAAACCTGTCTGTTGCCGCTCTTCAGTGTTCTAAAAACTGTTACAGTGATGACCGAGAAACTGATGTGGTGATACTGTAACTTTTTTTTTAAATAGTAAATCTTAAGAAATGATTATGTGGTGAGTTGGGTATGGTTTTGTTTCAGCTGTTTGATCAGCTTCTGCCAATGGCTGCTGTAAATAGCTTATATCTAGAGCCATTGAGTGGAGAAACTGTCCTCCAGTTAGTGTTGTTTTGTGTATAATGTAGATATATAATGTAGATTTTCTTTCTCTCTTTTTTTTTTTTTTTTAAAGTTACAAGCTAAGACATAGGTTTGCAGCTGTAGCTTTTCTGTGCACTTGCTTCTGGAACACGTGGATGATCTGCTGCCTGTAATGTCCCCTGGCAACAGGGCTCGTGTCAGGTTTTTATGGTACATTCAGGAACGAGTGAGCAGAAGCAGAACTGATCCAAATGAGGACAAGTTCTTGTAAGATGTGGTGTGGTTTTCATCATGGGCTGTTGAGCTGCTCTGAGATATGGCAGGACCCCTAGGAGGTGTGTGGGACAGACTGGCACCTTGCTTGCTGCCAGTGGGACGTGAGGATGTGGCTGCCCAGGTGAGTGCAGAGCCCATCTCTCTTCCCCCTCCTTTGTTAAAATGTGTGTTCTACTGAAGGAATCCCAAGCTTGGGGATATTTAGAGGAATGGCTGCTTTTTTGAAGATGCACGCTGCTTTTCTCAAGCTGGTTGAGATCATTTTTGATTATCTGTGGTTTATCTTTTAAATTATCTGTAAAATCTTTAAATTACCTGTTGTTTACACTTATTTAAAATTGGTGGATAAATAAATACTTCATTGTTATGGATGCTAAGAATTTTCAGTTGTCATATAACTTGCCTTTTGAAGTGGTCCTGACTAGTATGATGGCAGGTGTGCCAAACAAATGCAATTTGCTAATCTTTGTAGACAGGTGAAAACTGTAGCACAGTCAGAGCTGAAACCCCGGGGTTGTGCTGTCGTTCCTGCTGGACTCGCTTTGCTCTTTTTCCTGAGCCAGCCCTGCAGGGCAGTACCGTGATGGGCAGCAGGCTGGGAAGCCCTTCCTTCCACCCCCTAAAGCCAGGTCATAACAGCTAAACCCAGAAGAGTATTGAAATGAGACCATACCACTCATTTCAGTAGAAAAAGAAGATGGTGCTGTGCAGAAATAAAATGTGGCCATATCTGCATTTAAAACATGGTAAATGCGATTTCTTCTAAAGAGTATAATGTTGAGGCTTTTCTACTAGAAGCTACGCTGAGTGATGCAGCTTGATTTTGTTCTGTGTAGTTTCACAGCTTTCCAGGCCAGATCTAAAGACATGTTTCATAACTTGTTTGTTTTATGGGTCCTGTTGTTACAGGCAAACACCAGCATTGGTGATGCTGCGTTCCAGTCAGCTGCGGTAGGTGAAGAAGGGCTGAAATAAAGTCTTATTGGAGTTTACCTGTGTACTGAGAGCTTAAACTTCCTTTGACCCCCAGTTGGTTTTGCTCGCACACTGCTACTAGCCCTGCCTGTAGAAATACCAACCCCGTTTTCTCCAGAACAAAATGCCTAGCTGATCCATGGCATGTTTTGTGGCCTACTGAGGGTTTCAGTTCCCAGCTCCTTTATTGCCTGGGCTTGCTGAGCCTGGAGTCTGTTGCTTTGAGGCAGGCCTGCAGCTGAAGCTCCCCCACAGAGGAGAAATGCTCACAGGGAAGTGAATTTTTCAAGTAGTTTTGTTTGGTTTTGTTTCTGGTTTTGTGTGGGTTTTTGGTTTCTCTCTCTTTTTTTTTTTTGTAAGTGAGCGTTCCAAGTTGTAATAGGTCCTTGAAGTACTGTTGTCATGCTATACCTGAGCTCTCATAGAGGAGAATGTTTCCTTCAATCACATAATTTTCCTGCATTGGAATCTGTGTCATTTTCTAACTGCTCTGTATGAGAAGATCATTGGCTAGTTCAACTGCAAGATGCAGCACCAATAGCAGGAAGCAAGCTTTTAATGAACTGCATAAATTCTCCTCAGCACTTTCTTTCCATGGAGCTTTTAACTGCCGTTAAAATATAATAGAAAAGCTGTCTCAGTACAGTACCTGGGAACGTAACAAAGACATAGCTCTTCATGAGGTGGACTCCAGTGAAGTGAGGAAGAGCTCTCACTTCATTGAGAGGTGAAGTGAGTACTCTTAGGTGTCTTCCTAAGGCCTGCCGGGACCCCAGGGGCTGGTTTACTGCCCAACTCCTGAGCACCATGATGGGAGAGTTACTTTAATGTAGAGATGCCTGAGCCCCCTCCCCCCAAAAATGGGAGAGTATTCATCCTGTTCAGACTTGAACACAGCATGGAGATATTTTCCTTGTGGTATGTTATAATGAAAAAAGTACTGGCTGAATTATGTTTTGGAGTTTTGGCTGCTGCCGTTCATCTCTCCATGATGAAAACAAAGCCATACGTAGTGCTGGCTGGGGTGGAGCAACTGGCTGGGGCAGATACAGTTCCAAAAAGCTGTGTTGCCATCGGTGGATTACTATAGAGCTCCAGCGGAATGCTTCTACGGGGAACAGCCCAGAGCTGTGCATGTGCTGTGAGGAGGTGTTCCACAGCTGCACGTTCACAGGCAATTCAGGGAAGAGGAGCTGCACTCTAGGTCTGTGTGGGATCCAGTGGCCGTGGGAGGCAGAGCCCTTTCTGCCCGTCTTTCCCGTCGGCTGTGATGGCTGCTTTGTGCAGAGCTACCCCCTGCTCTCTGGTAC